TCTTGGCCTGACATTGCATTGCTGTAGAACTTTGCACTGAATAGCAGGGTCCAATAATGACTATGGTGGCCATCAATATATAGTCCATCTGGGCACATTTCATTTTCAGGTTGAAGAATATACTTTTGATTCTCTGGAGATGCAAGCCAGTCACTGATGACATCCACACCATCTTCATACGACTTGTTGCACAGCAGAGAAAGCATTTCTACATCTCCATAGTAATAGGACTCCACATTGAAGGTTGCAGTATATGTCCATTCTGGTAGTTCAGTGACCTTGAGAGAATCTTCATTTGGCTTTTGGTGTAGCTGCAATATTTGATAATCATTGTAAAACAATTTGATTAAATCAATGACTTTCTTGCCATTGTAAGTCAGCATTTGTGCCAGGATAAGATATTCCCATGCTTTGCCTTTCAACATGTCTGAAGCATTGGCATGTTTATTTAACTTCGCAAATAGTCTATTGGTGAGTGTCATAGCTGGACTTTTGAACTCAATACCAAGCACAGTGTTGACAACCCTTATTGCCAAGGGTTCATTGACTTGAATATAATGTACACTTTGTGTCTGCCTCAAAGAAGCAATACCACATTCAACAAGGCATGTCAATTTATCATCATAATCAGTTACATAGCCAATGCCAGAGAAGAAGCTGGATATTACAATTTGTTAGCCAACTATTCATGGTTTTTGCTAAAAAGAAAATTTATAATTGTGTGAAATGCATACTGGCAAGAAATGAAGACATTTTCTAACACAGTCTGTTTTGTTTCATTTTGCTCATGATTCTCCCCCTGTACAATTTCACATAACAACTGAGCAGCTAAGCAGGGGCAACCAGCAAGGTATTTCCAGTCTTCAATTCTTCCAATATCACAGCCTGAGAGGTTGAGATAATGTTTGATATAGGCTTTGACTTTATCAATTGTCAGTGTCTCAAAGTCCATAATAACATTCTCATTTGTGGTTTTGCCAACATCACTCTCAACTTTATCCCCATGTTTAAGTGTAAACAAAGTGCCAGCAATCACTACAGGAATCTTACGTGATGGAATGAGAAATTCTAACATTGGTGTTAGCAAGCCACATGGGTTACCATGGATATTATGGAATTTTGGGTAAAAAAGTTTGCTGGCAGTACTGGCCTTGTCAATTGCAATAGCCAACTGAGATCCATGGGGCAAAATATCCTATCATATATGAAATAAAATTTGTTATTAAATGTCCAGAATAAAAAAGATAACTGTTTTAACAAAGAACCTTACTGACAGCTTATGGGAGGCCACTTGGAAAAGCTTGTCCAGATTTCCTTTACTTTCTATATTTAGTGACGATTTGATCTCTGCAATAGACTCCTGTCCGCTGTTGAGCTGAGAGGGTAGGTAGCTGTGTGGAGTAAGGTCCTTGATCTTTCTAATGAGCAGAATGAGGTAGAAGATCCAGGAAGTGTACTCCAAGGAAATAAGATGGCATGCCTCTGCTTTACCATCATTATTCTGTAGCCCAGTGGTGTTATCAACTGTCTCTATGTCTTCATAGAGCTGTGCAAAATTACAGTCACTGGTTGGTTCGCCTACCACCTCCACCTTGCATTCAATATACATTAAGAAGACTCCTCTATTCTGCATGGCTACATTGAATATGGCCTGAGTCTTGCCAGCACCAGAAAATGAGATGAGAATGTTGAAATTATTGGTTTTCTGGAATAGTTCAACAAGCTTCTTGCCCATTGGGGTAGGATGTTCATCAAGATGCATATCCACAGAGGATTTACCACTAAATGATAGGAAACCCCCTGATTTGCAAAAGCAACCAGCAAGTTCTTGTGCACTCTCAGGATAGAGTTTAGGGGGAGCATGAATGTTCACTGTTGAGGTAAGAGTGTCAAACCAATAGTCCCATAGTTCAAGGCCAGTTTTTGGTCATTTGGATGACGACTCATCATTCATCAGTTTTCTTTTGAAAGGCACTGATACTAATTGTGAGAGGGTCAAAGGCGAAAGAAATTAAAGAAATGATCCATATATTAATATGAATAATAGACATAACAGATGGTGTAGCATTGGTAAAACGTCACTCACCAGCTATGAAAGATATGGCACACATAGATGAATGAGATAGCAATAATAAAAGTAGCAATGGGTAGTTAGAAGAGTGAGTTACAAGAAACGAATAACAGCAAGGAAAGTAGCATAATTTTTGGAAGTTCGAAAACAGAGGTGCAACACCACTCCATGGATGTGGGTAACTGACACTACTCTACTTAACCTAAACATATCGTATCTTGCTTATTTGCCTTTCAAACGAGTTTACGTATAACTTAACTTTTGCTACGACTCTGCTCTGCCCCAACTAATAATGCCCAACTGCCTCTCTTGCAATATAGCACAAAACTAGTAACAGTTTTCAAACTCTTCTCCCCGTTGCTTGCTTACTTACCTTGCTGTTTTTGTTTCTGTGCAAGGATGCTAGGATAATTTCCCCATCCTTAGCATCGTGATTGTTTGCTCTGTATTCAGCCGCAAATTCTTCGTATTCTTGAGGGTCTACGTTGTCCATCATGTTTGTCAAATTATGAAGAACGCGTAGTTGCGCGCGTTTATATCTTGCTACACATCATGATCACGTTCTGGAACAATTGACGTGCATCAAATTAGATTGTCCCACTGTACTCCTGATGTAAAAGTCACCGACCACCCCTTACATTTGCGAATATTGACGTAACGAGCAATGCAATCACCGCAAAATTAATACTGAATTTAGCGCATCTTCTAGATAGTATATACACAAAAAATTGCAATATGTTAGGTAACAAAATTACGAATTTACCTAGAGCCGACTTTTATCCTACGAAAAAGGTAAATTTAGATTACGCGACACGAATATTTAAGAAATCGGTAAAAATTAATCCACATATTAATTTACACTCAGTTACACTCATTTGAAAGTGCAAAAGAAGCGCTGTTGTATTTATAAAATATTATCTGAATATTGTTGAGAAATCGAATTTGAATCTAGGGTACTATTCGATAGTCGGCAACACCCCTTAAATTTGCAATTAAATGCAAATATTGGCATAACAAGCAATGCAATTACCGTGAAACTAATACTGAAGTTAGCGCATCTAATGTACAACATATTTACAAAAAATTGTAGTGTGTCAGCTAGTAATATGATAATATTTATATATAGCTAACGTTTTGTGTTACCGGAAAAGTTAAAATCAAGCTAAACGACCTAAAAGTTTAAAATTGTTTAAACACCGGTTCCACATAATAAATATACACAC